ACCTCCTACTAAGCAGAACCCGCCTGACTAAAAAACAAAAAACTACCTGGTGACGTGCCGCTGTATCCAGTGTTTTTGCTACTTCTTGTGTTTATTGTTCTTGTGTGAGTATTGTGCAAATGATTGTTGTTTCAACTTGCAGTGAGCCGAGATCGTGCGACTGCGTCCACTGGCGAGCAGAGCGATTTTGTCGCTCAACAAGAGAAAAAAAAAAAATAAACTACATGTGTGTTCATGCCGTAGTAATCCGTAACGTTTGGAAAGCCAAGCAGGATTGCTGAGTTAGGAGTTGGAAACCCCAAGCGCAGGTAACAAGTGAGGACCCAGTTCTACAAAAAAAAAAAATAAAAAAAAAGATTTTTTGGTGAGACAGAGTTCTGCTCTGTTGCCCAGGCTGGAATACAGTGGCCTGATCTCCGCTTACTGCAAGCTCCTTCTCCTGGGTTCGCGCCGTTCTCTTGCCTCAGCCTCCCGAGCAGCTGGGACTACAGTTGCGCACCACCACACCCGGCTGGGAGTAGTGGCTGATGCCTATAATACCAGCACTTTGGGAGGCCGAGGAGGTGGATCACTTGAGCTCTGGAGTTTGAGAACAGCCTGGGCAACAAATACAAACCCCGTCTCTACAAAAAACACAAAAATTAACTGGACATGGTGGTGAGTACCTGTAGTCTCAGTGGCTTAGGAGTCTGAAGTGGGAGGGTCGCTTGAGCCTGGGAGGTAGAGGTTGCAGTGAGCCGAGATTGTGCCACTGCACTTTAGCCTGGGTAACAGGGTAAAACCCTGTCTCTAAATAAATAAAGTGCATAAATAATTATGTTGTTAGAGTATAAATAAATGGGTGTAACAGTTCTAGAAAGCAACCTAGGAATGTATAAATGGCTTTAATGACCATATTTTATCTGTCAGTTCCACTTTTTGAGAATTTGACATAATTAATCACATAAACCTCTGTGTAAAGAGACTACCAATGGTATTATGTTAAACTAGCAAAAAACTAGAAGCCACTGAAATATACAACAATGAGGGATTGGTTACGTTATTCTGTAAGTATGTGGCCAAGAAGGGTACAGCAATTAATCATGCTTTTGAAGACTAGGGATGCATAAAAATGCTCAGAGAGTAGTAAGCAGAAAGCAATATATCTTCTATGCTTGTTATTTTGTATAAGATTTGTGGTGGGTATGTAAAAAGGAGATTAAAAGGAAAACGATGTTAATGGGTTAGTGCTCTGTGGGTACTGGCAACTTTAAATTATTCTACCCTATTTTCAGAACTGAGCATGTATTGTAATTGGTGAGAAAAACAAGAAACATTTTTAAAAAGGGTATAACTCAAGCTGATCCAATATGTTTTTTATTTATTTATTGAATTAATTTTTTTTTTGAGATAATCTCACTTTTGCCTAAACTGGAGTGCAGTGGCATGATCTCGGCTCACTGCAACCTCTGCCTCCTGGGTTCAAGCAATTCTCCTGCCTCAGCCTCCCAAGTATCTGGGATTACAGATGCCCACAACCATGCCCCACTAATTTTTTGTGTTTTTAATAGAGATGGGGTTTCACCATATTGGCCAGGCTGGTCTCAAACTCCTGACCTCAAGTGATCCACCCACCTCAGCCTCCCAAAGTGCTGGGATTACAGGTGTGAGCCATTGCGCCCAGCCCCCAGTATGCTTTTAGAACTCAACTTCTTTTGTTCTGTAAATTTAACAGCTTCTGAATTTGACCTCTAGAGCATATGTAAACACAGTTTTGCTTTTATGCCTTTTGAATATATTTGCTAAGGCCTAGGACAACCCCTTGTAGTATAGAATCTGATTATGTTATATTAATTTAAAAGGGAATGTCTTCTGTTCTGCTACCAGGTAAAATACTTTTCCTTAATACAGAATGGCTGTTTCATTTCCTGTAACTTTATCTGACTGAACTTTTACAAGGGCAGTGGATAAGCTGTGTAAAATAGAGACATTATGAATTGAGAATCCATGTGGTTTGATCTACACTGTGTGTGTTTTGAGGGAGGGGACCCGTTAGGCTTCATTATTGCAAGAAAAAATACTCGACTATGTGTTGTCTTGCTCAAAGCACTCATGCCGTGGCCCAAACCCAGATTCTTGGAGCTGGTCAAAGGGCCTGTTTACCTGCTGGGAGGTGGAGGGCGGTTGGCTAAGTGAATGTATCACTTCTTAAGTCGTTCTTTTGTGTTTCTTGCTTTCAGATGGAAAGAACTCAAGTGGATCCAAGCGTTATAATCGCAAACGTGAACTTTCCTACCCCAAAAATGAAAGTTTTAGCAACCAGTCCCGTCGCTCCAGTTCACAGAAAAGCAAGACTTTTAACAAGATGCCTCCTCAAAGGGGCGGCGGCAGCAGCAAACTCTTTAGCTCTTCTTTTAATGGTGGAAGACGAGATGAGGTATGGAATTTGAGAATGTCCTTTCTAGAGCAATAAGCATGAGATTTGATCTCATGCTTTATCAGTAGTTTATCAGTAGTTGAGGAGGGGAACAAGAGGTAGAGGAATAGATAATCAGAGGAGTCTTGAGTAGTTGAGAGGGTTAACCAGATTTGAAACTTTGCCTCCTTTTTTCCTCTGAAGGTTATGAAAATTGTCCTTGGAGGAAGGAAAATTTCCTTTATGACAAATTTGGGGTTCCTTAATTTGCATGGTCTTTCTATTATCACTCTTGAATTATAGGTACCTTTTGGAATATTTAGGTAATAAAATGACATTAATGACATTTGCCTTTGTAATAATCTAGCAAAATGTAAAATGCATATATCTGTAGTCTCATTTTTTTTAGGAGTTTCTTAGCTATGTTTCTGTAAGCGCATAAGACATTTATGTACAAGGGTGTTCACTGTTGTGTTTGTAGTTGCAAAATTTGGGAAATAACCTAAATGCCTATCCACAAGATACTGATAGAGTAAATTATGTTTCATACTATGTAATTATGATAGAATAAGACAGATTTAAAAAAATACAGACTGAGGGAAGTAAAGGGATAGAGAGTAACAAGGAAAACAGTTTTAGAAGGTGGTTTAAGGACACCTCTGAAGAGGTAGATTTTGAGAGAGACCTGAAAGAAGCAATGGAGCACACTATATGGTTGTTTTGTTTTAAGATAGTCTTGCTCTGTTTTAAGATGGTCTTGCCCTGGGGTACATTGGCATGATCATGGCTCACTGCACCCTTGACCTCTTGGGCTCAAGTGATCCTCCCACCTCAGCTTTGAGTAGCTGGAAGTACAGGTGCATGCCACCATGCTCGGCTAATTTTTTTCTTTTTATTTTGTAGAGACTGGATCTCACTATGTTGTCTAGGCTGCTCTTGAACCCCTAGCCTCAAGCGATCCTCTCTCATCTTGGCCTCCCAAAGTGCTGGGATTACAGGTGTGAGCCTGAAGGAACAGCATATGCAGAGGACAGGAGGTGGTAGTCCTTTTGTTGATTTGAAGTAAAGCAAGTAGGCTACCATGAGTGGAGGAGGACAGGTAGGAAATGTACCCAAAGACTAGGAAAGGGATCAGATCATGTGGGGCTTTGAAGGACTTTGGCTTTTGTTCAGAGAGATGAGAAGCCATTGAAAGGTTTAAGGAGAAAAGTAAGGTAACCTGATTTGGAGTTTTAAAGGGGAAGAGTGGAAGCAGGAAGACTAGTTAAGAGACTACAAAGATATTCTTGGTGAGAGTGATGGAAGCTTTGACATTGGGTGAGTGATGGAGGTGGTGAGAGACATTAAGATTTGAGACATTACTTGCAGATAGAGCCAAGACTTTTTGTTAGATGTGGGGTCTGAGCAGAGAAAAGGTTGAGTAATGTTTTTGGCATAAGCCCAATTGAGGTACCTTTTGCTGGAATGGAGAACATTCCTTCAAGAAGAGCACAAAGTTTTTTTGGGAGAGGAGAATAGGGTTGAGGTAAAGAACTTCAGTTTGGAAATGTTATATGTACATTAAAATTCCTATTTGATAAATGTAAGCAGGATATTAGTAGAGGTAGGTAGTTAACTGAATCAGCAGTCAAGGAAGAGACCCAGGTTAGAAAGCTGTTGGCATACAGTTGGTGCTTAAAGCTGTGGAACTAAGTGAGATAAATTAAGGAGTGAGTGTTCCGAAAACAGATTAGGTTCAAGAACTGAACTCCTGAGTCTGGATAAGAAACCAGCAAAAGAGCACAGTCAGGGCGGGAGGAAGAGAGCTGAAAGGTGTTGCAGAAGGTGATCAGTTTTGTCAAGTGCTGCTGCTAAGCTAAGAATAGGACTGAAAGTTGACCACTTGATTTGAAAATGGCATGTAGATTGGAGAGAATAGGAGGATGGGAAGAAGAAACAGCAAGTGTACACAGTACTTTTCAGTGGCTTTGCTCTAAAGGGGAGCAGAGATATGAGGCGGTGCTTGAAGGGAATATGAGCTTGAGGGATTTTAAGATTAGGGAAATGATAGCATGTCTGTGCTCATGGGATGGTTCCGGTGAGAGGCAAAGTGATGCAGGGAAAAGGGAAAGAATTGCTGAGCAATGTCCTTGAGTCCTTGAGATCTAGTGAGAAGTGGAGCAGTTGGCTTAGATAGCAACTCTGCTAGTTCATCCCCAGTAACAAAAGGAGGGCCTGGTGATACAGGTGGGGTCGGAGGTAGTTGGAATTCTTTTCTGATTGTTCTAGTTTTCTCAGTAGAAAACATAAGGTGAGCCAAAAGGAGGTTTGGAAGCCTGAGGAGTGAAGGAGTTGTCTGGGAAAGTGAGGGAATGAACGGACTGCAGAAGCGTACTAGAATTGCAGTACTTTCAGGCACATGAGGGTCTACTGTGGTGAGGCTGTTTGCTGTGGGTGTGTTTGTTAGCCCTGTTTGTCTGCTCCAGGGCTGATGTGGAATAGGAAAAGAGTTGAATTAGGAGGAGATTTTGCCAGGTGAATACAGAAGATATATGAAGAAGTGGGTGATGGCGCCGGGCACAGTGATTCACAGCTGTAATCCCAGCACTTTGGGAGGCCAAGGAGGGTGGATCACCTGAGGCCAGGAATTGGAGACCGGCCTGGCTATGATGGCAAAACTCCGTCTCTACTGAAAATACAAAAATTAGCTGGGCATGATGGCAGGCACCTGTAATTCTAGTTACTTGGGAGGCTGAGGCAGGAGAATCGCTTGAACCCAGGAGGTGGAGGATGCAGTGACCGGAGGTCGCACCACTGCAATCCAGCTTGGGTGGCAGAGCGAGACTCCATCTCTAAATAAATAAGCAAATAAATAAAATTTGAAAAAGGAAGTGGGCAGTGGACCACAGGATCTAAGCCAAATCTGAGGGGTTGGATCATTGATTTGGAGGTCCTAGTGAGGGTAGAGAATTGGAGTCAGGACTAAACCTGGGAGTTTAGGAGTATATTCCTGGCTGGACAAATGAATGCTCAAAGTTAAGATGGTGGAAGAGGTTGTGGTTGTTGGTCTAGACTGTAGAACACTCCTGTCTAGTAGGATATCAAGCCATGTGTGTAATCTTACATTTTCTAGCTGCCTGCACTACAGAAGTAAAAAGTCAATTTTAATATATTTAATTCAATATATCTAAAATGTAAGCTTACCACATGGTACAGCCATATTTCAAGTGCTTAGTAGCTACATCTAGCTAGTGGCTGCTGTATTGTACATTACAGCTGTAGAAGGGAAACCTGTACGTGTGGGTGGCTGAGATGGGAGGGGCAAGCTAATTGGAAGAGAGGAGGTCAAGGACCTGGAGTTCAGGGTATTGCGAGGATAATCAGGAAGTACAAGTGGTGTCGGAGAAAGTGACAGTGGGCCAGCTAGAACAAGCTGAAGATGATAGAAGGTTGAGAATGTGGAGGATTTTGTTGACTGAGCAAGCACAAGCTCTTACATCTAAGTTTGGGGCATTGAGAGTGGAAGACTGTTTGAAGAGATCAGAGCCATGTGGAGATGAAAAATAAGGGATGGCCGGGCGCGGTGGCTCAAACCTGTAATCCCAGCACTTTGGGAGGCCGAGACGGGCGGATCACGAGGTCAGGAGATCGAGACCATCCTGGCTAAGCACCGGTGAAACCCCGTCTCTACTAAAAATACAAGAAAATTAGCCGGGGCGTGGTGGCAGGCGCCTGTAGTCCCAGCCTACTCGGGGGCTGAGGCAGGAGAATGGCGTGAACCGGGGGGGCGGAGCTTGCAGTGAGGCCAGATCGCGCCACTGGCACTCCAGCCTGTGGGCAAGGCAGAAACAAGACTCTCCGTCTCAAAAAAAAAAAAAAAAAAAAAAAAAAAGAAAAAATAAGGGATGACCTGGAAGTCCTTGGGCTTCTCTTTTGTTGGCGCCAAAACAAACAGAATGTGGGCCTTTTTTTTTTTTTTTTTTTGTTTGGACAGAGTCTTGGCTCTGTTGCCCAGACCTAGAAGTGGGCAAGTGGTACGATGCTCGGCAACTCACTGTCAGCTCCGCCTTCCTGGGTTCCACAGCCATTCCTCCTGCCCTCAGCCTCGCCCAAAGTAGCTGAGACTACAGGCGTCCGCCACCCACACCCCGGCTATTTATTTTTTCCAATTCTAAGCTCTTTTTTTGAGATGGAGATCTGGCTCTGTCGGCGCGCAGGCGGAGTGCAGTGGCTCCGATCCGACGGGCTTCAGCTGCAAGGCTCCGCGCCTCCGCGGATTGCACGCCATTCTCCCTGAGCCTCAGCCTCACCGAGTAGCCTGGGAACTCATAGGGCGCCTGTCAGCTCACGGCCTGACTATATTCTTTTTGTATTTTTTAGTGGAGAATGGAGTTTCCACCACGTTAGCCCAGGAATGGATCTCTCATCTCCTGACCTTGTGATCCGCCCGCCTCGGCCTCCCAAAGTACTGGGATTACAGGCGTGAGCCACCGCGCCTGGCCAATTTTTTGTATTTTTAGTAGAGATGGGATTTCACCGTGTTAGGATGGTCTTCATCTCCTGACCTCGTGACCCACCTGCCTGGGCCTCCCAAAGTGCTGGGATTACAGGCATGAGCCACTGCGCCCAGCCCAGAATGTGGTGTTATCTTTAAGCTTGGTTGTTAATATAAAAAAGGAAGTTATCTGACTGTATGGTATACCCCCAGTTGTATTTCATTATTTTTAATTTATTATTTTTGAGACAGAGTCTTACTGTGTCGCCCAGGCTGGAGTGCAGTGGTATGATCGTGGCCCACTGCAGCCTTGACCTACTGGGCTCAAATCATCCTCCCACCTCAGCCTTCCAAGTAGATGGGACTACAGGCATGCATCACTAAGCCTGGCTAATTTTTAAATTTTTTGTAGAGACATTGCATCCCTGTGTTGTCCAGGCTGGTCTCAAATTCCTGGCCTCAGATGATCCTCCCTCCTTGTTCTCCTAAAGCCCTGGGTTGTAGATGTGAGCCACTGTGCCCATCCTAGTTTTTTTTTTTTTTTTGAAGTGGAGTTTTGCTCTTGATGCCCAGGCTGGAGTGCAATGGTGTGATCTTGGCTCACTGCACCCTCTGCCTCCCGGGTTCAAGCGATTCTCCTGCCTCAGTCTCCTGAGCCTGACCTTGGGTGATCTGCCTACCTCAGCCTCCCAGAGTGTTGGGATTATAGGCATGAGCCACCACTCCCAGTTGCCCATCCTGATTTTATTTTTAAATTTTAGATTTTATTTTTTAGACACAGTCTCAGCCGGTTGCCCAGGCTGGAGTGCAGTGGCTATTCACAGGTGTGATCATAGTCCACTGCAACCTTGAATTCCTGGGCTCACGTGACCCTTTTCAGCCTCCTGAGTGGCCGAGAGTGCGGGTGTGCATTACCGTGTCTAGCTTTGTATTTATTTTTAAAGGTTATATTAGTCCATTTTCTCATTACTATGAAGAACTACCTCAGACTGGGTAATTTATGAAGAAGAGAGGTTTAATTGACTCACAGGTCTGCAGGCTGTACAGGAAACATGGCTGGGGAGGCCTCAGGAAACTTATGGCAGAAGATAAAGGGGAGGCAGACACATCTTAGGAGGAAGACTGCGTAAGAGGAAGTGCTACATAGTTTTTGTTTGTTTGTTTGTTTGTTTGTTTTTCGAAACGGAGTCTCACTGTCACCCAGGCTGGAGTGCAGTGGCGCTATCTCGGTTTACTGCAACCTCTGCCTCCTGGGTTCACACCATTCTTCTGCTTCAGCTTCCCGAGTAGCTGGGACTACAGGTGCCCGCCACCACGCCTGGCTAATTTTTTGTGTTTTTAGTAGAGACAGGGTTTCACCATGTTAGCCAGGATGGTCTTGATCTCCTGACCTTGTGATCCGCCTGCCTCGGCCTCCCAAAGTGCTGGCATTACAGGCGTGAGCCACCGTGCCCGGCCAGTGCTACATACTTTTAAACAACCAGATCTCCTGAGAACTCACTGTCATGAGAACAGCAAGGGGGGGAGTCTGCCCACATGACCTAATCACCTTTCACCAGACCCCTCCACCAGTATTGGGGATTACACATGAGATTTGAGAAGGGACAAAATCCAAACCATATCAAAGGTTATATACCATGGTTCTGTATGTATAGAATATCTCAGAGTATGTTCATTGCCTCTGGAAGAGAAATTGCCTTTCATCATATCTCTTTTTGTACGTGCAAGTGCTGCTTAGCAAAAATCTTGAAATTTGACTAAGCAGCAAAAGCCTGAAGTTTGCCTTTCCTTTGACCCAGTAATTCCTCCTGTACATTCAAAAGAAATAATTGTAGGTGCTCAAGTATTTGCGCATAAATGTATCAAAAAATGTGTTTCTCACAGCATTATCTTGAAACAGTGGAAAAGCTCTCCAACAATCTGTGCCATACAATAGGGCATTAAGCTCTGGTATACCCATGCAACATCATGAATGATATGCAGCTATTTGAGGTGACTAGCGAAGTGTTTATAATATTAAATGGGAAAGGGGAGTTGGGAAATGCCCTAGCTGACTTCCATTCATTTTAATGCAATTTGGGAATGTTAAGAGGACTGAAATACACGTTGATGTGATTTCTTCCATCTTTGCTTGCAGTGGTGTTTCTCGTATGGTTTCTTGGCCAACCTTATAAACTATTGCTGAATCTGCTGATTGGGTTTATTTCTGGACACAGAGCTAGTCTGCCTACATGTTCCAGTTCTGTCGGTTTTAATTAACAGTGAATAACTGTGTCTTAGATGGGAGGTCTGGTAGGATCCAGAACCTAGGGCAGTTAGCAGCTCTGCCTGCAAGCCACTTCCAGAGTGTGGCTACACAGGCCCACTTTGCCAGAAGCAGACCAAAGAGCAAGTAGTTAACAAGAGTGAAGGTGTAGGAGTCCTATGAGACTGTTGAAAATATTAATCCAGTTAAGTAAATCTTTGTGATTCAAGATAGCTAGACGCATTCATGCTGGGTTTTTTGTTTTGTTTTGTTTTTTTAAAGACAGTTTCGCTCTTGTTGCACAGGCTGGAGTGCAGTGGCACGATCTCAGCTCACTGCAACCTCCCACTTCCAGGTTCAAGCGATTCTCCTGCCTCAGCCTCCGGAGTAGCTGGGATTACAGGTGCCTGCCACCACGCCTGGCTAATTTTTTTGTATTTTTAGTGATCGTCCGCCTCGGCCTCCCAAAGTGGTGGGATTACAGGCGTGAGCCACCGTGCCCAGTCTTATTTAATTTTTTGAAAAAGGAATAAAAGAATGGCTATTCCATATAAAAAGCAGCCTTTTTAGTTAATACTTTTAAAATTTTTTTTATTTTTTTCTGAAACAGGGTTTCTGTCGCCCAGGCTGGAATGCAGTGGTGCAATCTCGGCTCACTACAACCTCTGTCTCCTGGGTTCAAGTGATTGTCCCACCTCAGCCTCCTGAGTAGATGGGATTACGGGCGCTCACCACTGCCCCCGACTAATTTTTGTATTTTCAGTAGAGATGGGGTTTCACCATGTTGGCCAGGCTAGTCTTGAACTCCTGAACTTAAGTGATCCGCCTGCCTTGGCCTCCCAAAGTTCTGGGATTACAGGTGTGACCCACCGTGCCAGGCCTTTAGTTAATACTTTAAGCTATGTAGGCTGGCAAGGTGGCTCACGCCTATAATCCCAGTACTTTTGGAGGCTGAGGTGAGGGGATCTCCTGAGGTCAAGAGTTTGAGACCAGCCTGGCCAACATGGCGAAACCCTGTCTCCACTAAAAATACAAAAACTAGCTGGGCATGGTTTAATCCCACACGCCTGTAATCCCAGCTACTCAGGAGACTGAGACAGGAGGATCACTTGAACTTGGGAGACAGAGGTTGCAGTGAGCCAAGATTGTGCCATTGCACTCCAGCCTTGGTGACACAGTGAGACTGCATCTTGGGGGGAAAAAAAAAAGATTTGTGTAGAAGGAGGGTTTTTTTTCTTTTTTGGGTTTCTGCTGTAAATCAGTAAGTGTCATCCTAATCTGAAATACTGATTCATTCTCATTCTCCCTAGGTAGCAGAGGCTCAACGGGCAGAGTTTAGCCCTGCCCAGTTCTCTGGTCCTAAGAAGATCAACCTGAACCACTTGTTGAATTTCACTTTTGAACCCCGTGGCCAGACGGGTCACTTTGAAGGCAGTGGACATGGTAGCTGGGGAAAAAGGAACAAGTGGGGACATAAGCCTTTTAACAAGGAACTCTTTTTACAGGCCAAGTGAGTATTGCTACTCCTCAGAGAATAGGGAAAGTGGGACTCTCTGGATAACTGTGGTGCCGCTGTGAAGAGGCTTTTTTTTTTTTTTTTTTTTTGGACGGAGTCTTGCTCTGTCGCCCAGGCTGGAGTGCAGTGGCGCGATCTCGGCTCACTGCAAGCTCCGCCTCCCGGGTTCACGCCATTCTCCTGCCTCAGCCTCCCGAGTAGCTGGGACTACAGGCGCCCGCCACCTCGCCCGGCTAATTTTCTTGTATTTTTAGTAGAGACGGGGTTTCACTGTGTTAGCCAGGATGGTCTCGATCTCCTGACCTCGTGATCCGGCCGTCTCGGCCTCCCAAAGTGCTGGGATTACAGGCTTGAGCCACCGCGCCCGGCCGAAGAGGCTTTTTTTAAAGCTATTGTGGGAAAGAAGCAGAAAGGGAATTGGTCTCGTTCTTTTTCTGTTCACCATTGCCCCGCCCTTCCTTCCTTTTACCCACTTTCCAGGTGGATGTTTTTGGTACTTAATGCTTAAATAACTGTGTTAGTATCATAATGAGGTAGAAAACATGTTTGGAATTGGACCCAGATTTGAATCTTGTTTCGGCCTTTGACCTTAGGTAACTTACTTAATTAACTGCTTTGAGATTCAGTCTCTCCTTTATAAGGAAGAGGAAATTTTTTTTTTTTTTTTTTTTTTGAGACGGAGTCTCGCTTTGTCACCTAGGCTAGAGTGCTGTGGCGTGATCTCGGCTCACTGCAACCTCCGCCTTCTGGGTTTAAGCCATTTTTTTGCCTCAGCCTCCCAAATAGCTGGGACTACAGGTGCACACCACCACACCTGTCTGATTTTTGTATTTTTTTTTTTTTTGATAGAGATGCAGTGGCTCATGCCTGTAGTCTCAGCACTTTGGGAGACCAAGGCGGGTGGATCACCGTATTGGCCAGGCTGGTCTCGAACTCGTGACCTTGTGATCCATCTGCCTCGGCCTCCAAAGTACTGGGATTACAAGCATGAGCCACTGTGCCCGGCCAGGAAGAAGAATTTTTTTTTTTTTTTTTTTGAGACAGTCTCTCTCTGTTGCCCAGGCTGGAGTGCAGTGGCGCGATCTCTTGGCTCACTGCACGCTCTGCCTTTCCTGGAGCTTCACGCCATTCTCCTGCCTCAGTCTCCCGAGTAGCTGGGACTACAGGCACCTGCCACCTCTCCTGGCTAATTTTGTTTTTGTAATTTTAGTAGAGATGGGGTTTCACCATGTTAGCCAGGATGGTCTTGATCTCCTGACCTCATGATCCCCCCGCCTTGGTCTCCCAAAGTGCTGGGATTACAGGCATGAGCCACTGCGCCCAACCAGGAGGAGAAAATTTCTTAAGGTTCAATTGAGTGACAAGTTGAAGTGCTTGGCATATATTTGCTCAAATATGATCCCCTTTTGTTTCCTTTTGTGTGGCCTTAGTCATAATTTAAGATTTGACCTAGGATCTAGACTGAAGTAACCTTTTTGTACTTTATATGAACTGGTTTCAAATAGTGATGACAGTGTGTTTTTTTTTTTTGGTGACAGAGTCCTCCTCTGTCGCCCAGGCTGGAGTGTAGTGGCGTGATCTCACCTCACTGCAACCTCTGCCTCTCGGGTTCAAGTGATTCTCCTGCCTTAGCCTTCTGAGTAGCTGGGACTACAGGCACGTGCCACCACGCCCAGCTAATCTTTTTTGTATTTTTAGTAGAGAGGGCGTTTCATCATGTTAGCCAGGATGGTCTTGATCTTCTAGACCTTGTGATTTGCCCGCCTTGGCCTCCCAAAGTGATGGGATTACAGGTGTGAGCCACCGCGTCTGGCCTAATTTTTCTATTTTTAGTAGAGATGTTGTTTCACCCTGTTGGTCAGGCTGGTCTCTTAACTCCTGACCTCAAGTGATCCACCCGCCTTGGCCTCCCAAAGTGCGGGGATTACACGTTTGAGCCACGGTGCCTGGCCGTGAACAGTCTTTTCAACTGCCTTGAAGACTGGCTATTTTCTGGGGTTCTAAGGGGTGAGAGGAAATCTGGCTTACTGCTGTTGGATGGAGTCACAGTCTAGGTTAATTTTAGTTCAAGGGATGCCTTCAGGGAATTTGGCTGGACTTGGAAGCAGAAGAAAACAGTTCATGGATTTAGACTTCTGCCTGCTGCGTCTTTGGGTTCTTTCCAGAGCCGGAGTTCAGAACTGAGGCTGAGGTCCTAGTGCAGTGCCTCATGAACCAGAGCTGCTAATGACCTGCATTTGATTTCTAAGTGAATAGATGACAATTTCTGCCGAGGGCTTATTGGTAGATTCTAACAGTCTAGCTTTTTCCTGTCTTCTTTCCTATTTCTAGCTGCCAATTTGTGGTGTGTGAAGACCAAGACTACACAGCTCATTTTGCTGATCCTGATACATTAGTTAACTGGGACTTTGTGGAACAAGTGGTGAGTAGCTCAGCCAAGCCCATAAGCTATGAATGGGAGACAGCGCTAAATAAAGGCACTGTGCTGACACAGCAGCTGTTGGCTGTGTTCACTGCTGGACAACCTTTTCTGCCTGGCCTTTCTATAGATGTTTCCCAGAGGTCAGTTCTTGGTTCTTCCTGGAGTCCATTTTGTGACTAACTGGCTCTGGCCTGTAGGGATGGTGTATGAAAGGCTCTGATCTGAAGATATGTAAGCTGGGAAGTAGTAACCCCTTACCCTCCTGACCTGGGTTGGGCTCATTACAGGGCCATTGCTTCAATGGCAACCATTCATAGCAATCACTATCAAAGAAGGCCCCAGCCTTGTGGCAGGTGAGCACATGAATGAGCCACACAGTTGTACTTTTTTTTGAGATGGAGTCTTGCTCTGTCGCCCAGGGTAGAGTGCAGTGGTGCGATCTTGGCTCACTGCAAGCTCCGCCACCTGGGTTCACGCCATTCTCCTGCCTCAGCCTCCCAAGTAGCTGGGACTACAGGCGCCCGCCACCACGCCTGGCTAATTTTTTGTATTTTTTTAATAGAGACAGGGTTTTACCGTGTTTGCCAGGATGGTCTCGGTCTCCTGACCTCGTGATCCCCCCGCCTCGGCCTCCCAAAGTGCTGGGATCACAGGCATGAGCTGTTGTGCCTGGCTTTTTTTTTTTTTTTTTTGAGACAGTCTTGCTCTATCGCCCCAACTGGAGTGCAGTAGCGGGATGTCGGCTCACTGTAACCTCCACGTTTTGGGTTCAAGCAGTTCTCGTGCCTCAGCCTCCTGAGTAGCTGGGATTACAGGTGCGCACCACTATGCCTGGCTAATTTTTGATTTTTATTAGAGATGGAGTTCCACTGTGTTGTCCAGGCTTGTCTCAAACTGCCAGCCTCAAGTGATCGACCTGTCTCGGCCTTCCAAAGTGTTGGGATTACAGGCGTGAGCCACCATGCCGAGCTTCAGTTGTACTTTCAAAGCCACTGATGTGTTTTCTACTGAAGTTACAAACTCTTGGTATCCCCTTGTTGGTCCTAATAGAGTATCTGTTGAAGAACAATAATTTCAAAATGATGGGCCCTTTTTTTTTTTTTTTAATGAGCAGGGCCTTTTGACCTTAAAGCTTGAACTCTCACTACTGTGAAAATGTATAAAATCATGAGAGAATGGCATAGAAGGCATAAAAACTTGTTTTATTAAAAAAAAAATTAGTCATATAAAGTGAAGTCTTTTTAATGTGTTCTCTGTTGGAAATTACTGGTAGATTACTTCTAGACCCTTTTTAGGCCTTTATGCATACATATTAAGTTTTTTTATAAATGGGAATATAGTGATTTGTAATTTTTTTCTATGTAAAGTAGAACCCCCCAAATTCCTGTTGTGTATTAGTTTTATTGTATTAAACCGTTATTATGGTTTCCTTAGTGATTTGCTTAAAGAGCTGTCATACAAAGCCTGGCGCAGTGACTCACGCCTGTAATCCCAGCACTTTGGGAGGCTGAGGCGGGCGGATCACAAGGTCAGGAGATTGAGACCATCCTGGCTAACATGGTGAAACCCCGTCTCTACTAAAAATAGAAAAAAATTAGGCAGGCGTGGTGGCGGGCGCTTGTAGTCCCAGCTCCTCGGAGGCTGAGGCAGGAGAATGGTGTGAACCCAGGAGGCGGAGTTTGTAGTGAGCCGAGATTGCGCCACTGCACTCCAGCCTGGGCGACAGAGCGAGACTCTGTCTCAAAAAAAAAAAAGCTGTCATACATGTATCTACATTGTTAAACAGTTTTAGGAAGATATGTTGAGTATAAGGATGTACAGGGATAGAGATGAGAGAGATGGGGATGAGAGAGTAGAGAGGCCTGTAACTTTTAACAGTCCCTAATCAATCCTGCAAGCAGTGAACCTTCTGGTGGCATTTTGTTTCAGCGCATTTGTAGCCATGAAGTGCCATCTTGCCCAATATGCCTCTATCCACCTACTGCAGCCAAGATAACCCGTTGTGGACACATCTTCTGCTGGGCATGCATCCTGCACTATCTTTCACTGAGTGAGAAGACATGGAGTAAATGTCCCATCTGTTACAGTTCTGTGCATAAGAAGGATCTCAAGAGGTGAGATTGAGACATTTACTCAATTAGATTCCAGTCTGTTCACTCCTTGCCCTGCTACATATAAGTGTCCATGTTTCAGTGTTGTTGCCACAGAGTCACGTCAGTATGTTGTTGGTGATACCATTACGATGCAGCTGATGAAGAGGGAGAAAGGGGTGTTGGTGGCTTTGCCCAAATCCAAATGGATGAATGTAGACCATCCCATTCGTCTGGGAGGTGAGTTCTTTAAATTTGGGGGACAAGTAATCCTATTTCATACCATTCATGAAATTAATTCCAGATAGATTGAAGAAGTAAATGTAAAAAATCCGAAAGTTTTAACCCTTTTATTTAAAAGAAAATATAATTTTTTTGTAAATCCTCAGATGTGCATCTGTCTGAAGGATTGTGTGTTCTCATTTGGGTGGTAAATATGTGTGTGTAGTATTTTTTTTCCTAGTGATTTTGACTGTTTAAATGCTTAACAACTTAAAACATTAAAAATGTGTATTGATTTTTAAAAAAATCCTCAGATATGGGTGGATTTTTGAGCCAGGCTGAAATGATAGATGCTATAAAATATTGATAAATTTTATTTTTATTTTTATTTTTTATTTTTTTGAGACGAAGTCTGGCTCTGTCACCCAGGCTGGAGTGCAGTGGCACAATCTTGGCTTACCGCAACCTCCACCTCCCGGGTTCAGGCGATTCTCATGCCTCAGCCTCCCGAGTAGCTGGGACTACAGGCGCACACCACCACGCCTGGCTAAGTTTGTATTTTTAGTTGAGACGGGATTTCACCATGTTGGCAGGCTAGTTTCGAACTCCCGAGCTTAGGTGATCCACCCGCCTTGCCTCCCAAAGTGCTGGGATTACAAGCACTAGCCACCGTGCCCGGCACATTTGATTTTACGAGAATGAAACTTGTATCTGAGATTTCTTTTTTTTTTTTTTTTTTTGAGACCGAAAAAAAAAACCCATGAAATGAAAAATAAGCTGCAGAACAAGATGTTATTATTTGTCATTTATGATGAAACTTTTTTTTCTTTTTTTTTTTTTTTTTTTTTTTGGTACGAGCCTTCTGCCGCCAGGCTGGAGTGCATGCGCGATCTTTGGTACTGCATACTCCGTCTGTTCCGCCATTCTTCGCCTAGCCTCCCAGAGCGGGACACAAGGTGCCCACCACCACACCCGGCTAATTTTTTGTATTTCTAGTAGAGACGGGGTTTTGCCGTGTTAGCCAGGATGGTCTCGATCTCCTGACCTCGTGATCTGCCCACCTTGGCCTCCTAAAGTGCTGCGATTATAGGCGTGAGCCACTGCACCCAGCCAAAACCTTTATTTCTTTATAAACGTGGGTATATAATTATATAGAAAAAGGTTTGAAGGATACATAATCAAATTTGCAAATGTTAACTCTGGGCAGATACTAGGATATTTGAGGGTAGGAAAACGGCATATCAGGGAGGTCTGAAGATAACATTGTTTTAAGCTACTTAGAAAGTACAGAAAATGTGGGCCGGGCACAGTGGCTCACGCCTGTAATCCTAGCACTTTGGGAGGCCAAAGCGGGTGGATTACCTGAGCTCAGGAGTTCCAGACCAGCCTGGGCAACGCGGTGAAACCCGTCTCCACTAAAATACAAAAAATTAGCTGGGTGTGGCAGCGTGCGCCTGTAATTCCAGCTACTTGGCAGCTGAGGCAGGAGAATTGCTAGAACCAGCCTGGGCGACACAAGTGAGACTCTGTCTCTCAAAAAATAAATAAATAAATAAATAAATAAGTAAAAGTACAGAAAATGTGGAGGAGGGAAGTAAAACAAATAAGTCATCCATGATCCCTTTACTCATAGGCATTCCAGAACCTTATCTATATATATTTTTTCTATGCATGTATATTTTTGTGAGATTGGGATTTGATTTGCAAGTCAGCATCTGTATTTTTCCATGTCCCTAATTGACCACTTAGAAAAACACGTCTAGGCCGGGTATGGTGGCTCACGCCTGTAATCTCAGCACTTTGGGAGACCGATGCAGGTGGATCACTTGAGGTCAGGAGTTCGAGACCAGCCTGGCCAACATAGTGAAAATCCATCTCTACTTAAAAAAAAAAAAATTTGTGTTGGCACATGCCTAAATCCCAGCTACTCAGGAGGCTAAGCAGGAGAACTGCATGAACACAGGATGGTGGAGGTTGTGATGAGCTGAGATTGCACCACTGCACTCCAGCCTGGGTGACAGAGGGAGACTCCATCTCAAAATAAATAAAAAAGAAAACCATTTTCAGTGTCCACAGAATTTTGGTTAATGAACATACTGTCATGTCATTAACTCTTTTTTTTTTTTTTTGAGATGGAATCTCACTTTGTCGCCCAGGCTGGAGTGCAGTGGCATGGTCACGGTTCACTGCAGCCTCGACCTCCTAGGCTCAAGAAATTCTCCTGCCTCAGCCTCCCATTAATTAATTAATTACAATTTAATTTAAATTTAATTTAAAAATTAAAATTTTAATTTAAAAATGTTAACTGGGCATGGTGGTGTAGTTAATTTTTTATTTTTGGCAGAGATGAGGTCTTGCTGTGTTGCTAGGCTGGTCTTGAACTTCTTTTTTTTTGAGATGGAGTCTCGCTCTCTTGCCCATTCTGGAGTGCAGTGGTGTGATCTCGGCTCACTGCAACCTCCACCTCCCAGGTTCAAGAGATCTGCCTCAGCCTCCTGAGTAGCTGGGATTACAGGCTCCCGTCACCATACTCAGCTAATTTTTTGTATTTTTAGTAGAGACGGGGTTTCTCCATGTTGGCCAGGCTGGTCTGGAACTCCTAGCTTCAGGCAACCCACCTGCCTCAGCCTCCCAAAGTACTGGGATTACAGGTGTGAGCCACTGCGCTGGGCCACCATTTCTTTATTCTTTATTGTTGGTTTTACTGGTTGGTTTGAGCTTTTCTTTTCTTTTTCTTTTTTTTTTTTTTGAGACAGAGTTTTGCTTTTGTTGCTCAAGCTGGAGTGCAGTGGCATGATCTTGGCTCACTGCAACCCCTGCCTCCCGGGTTCAAGCAGTTCTCCTGCCTCATCCTCCCGAGTAGCTGGAATTACAGACAGCACCACCACGCCCAACTAATTTTTTGTATCTTTTTTTTTTTTTTTTTTGAGACGGAGTCTCGCTCTGTCGCCCAAGCTGGAGTGCAGTGGCGCGATCCTGGCTCACTGCAAGCTCCGCCTCCTGGGTTCACGCCATTCTCCTGCCTCAGCCTCCCGAATAGCTGGAACTACAGGCGCCCGCCACCGCGCCCAGCTCATTTTTTGTATTTTTAGTAGAGACGGGGTTTCACCATGGTCTCGATCTCCTGACCTTGTGATCCGCCCGCCTCGGCCTCCCAAAGTGCTGGAATTACAGGCGTGAGCCACCGCGCCCGGCCAATTTTTGTATCTTTAGTAGAGACGGGGTTTCACCATGTTGGTCAGGCTAGTCTCGAACTCCTGACCTCAAGTGATCCACCCGCCTCGACCTCCCAAAGTGCTGGGATTACAGGTGTGAGCCACGGTGCCTGGCTGGTTTGAGTTTTTCTGATATTACATACAATGCTATAATAATAAACGTTGTGTGACTAAAGTTTAGACTGCATCTCTGGGTTTCTTAGATTTCTTGTATCAAGAACAGAGCTACAGACCTTATTTTAAGACTGTTGTTAAATTATTTTCTTAGGGAATTATCCCATTTTCACCTCAAAGAAAAGGCTGTATTTGAAAATTCCTATTTAGCTACACCGTCATGAACTTTGAGTGTTGCATTTCTTTGATCTTGCTGGCCTTCTTATAGATGAACAACACAGCCAGTACTCCAAGTTGCTGCTCGCCTCTAAGGAGCAGGTGCTGCACCGGGTAGTTCTGGAGGAGAAAGTAGCACTAGAGCAGCAGCTGGCAGAGGAGAAGCACACTCCCGAGTCCTGCTTTATTGAGGCAGCTATCCAGGAGCTCAAGGTGAGAGGATGCATTGAAGACGCTAAAACCTTTTCACTCTCTCGGCAGTCTCTGGTGAAAACCAGAAATGCTAAACCTTTTCACTGTGTTGGGGGTGAGTTGATGGACACTGGGGTTAAATTAGTTCCATTCCACATTTAAGACAATAAGCAGAAAATGGCTAAAAAAGCCAATTTGTTTTGCGCTTTGTTTGATGACAGCAGAGAATTTGTTTGATGACAGCAGGGCTTTTAAAGCTCTTTCTAGAGCTGAAAGGAGCAAGTCAAAATGATTTTATAACTAATTGTGACAGTGGAGTTTTTTAGATTAGCTATGTTCTTAAAGCAAGGAAGAGTTTTTTGTTTTCTGGGAAAATACTTAGGGTTCTATTCTAGAGGTGTTTTGAGAGACATTGTGGAGAAAGTATTATGGCCTGCCCAGTATGCCTTAGGAGTGCCTGAAATGGCAATAATTACACAAGGATAGAATTCCTTGGGTCTTGGATCTTCCACAACAGGAAATTTTGAAGCATCACAACCACTGGTTGTTAGGCTCCGCCTTGAGATACTGATTGCATAGGTTAAGCTCAGTAGGCTCAGTAATTTGCATTATAACAAGTTCTAGGGTGATTCTGATGGCTGCTCATCCCCGGACCACACTACTGGAACCACTGATCTAGCTTAGAGCAGTAGAAGCCCATATTTATTGAGTGATTAGCATTTGATAGGACCGGTGCTATGCACATTTATCTCACTTAAACTTCTAGTGTGGTAGATAGCACTATCCCCTTTCATGGATGAGGAAACAGAATCATGGGTTGGGTAATTTGCTAGTAAGGGATGCAGCTGGTATTTGAATTCCCTTCTCCCTGACTCCTAAGGGATCCTTGGGTAGAGTCCTGTATATTTAACTTTTGCTTTCTTACTATAATATATTGCAGCCGTATTTGTTCAAATGCCATTACAGGCACAAGAAAGGCTACATAGAATTAGAACTGTCCAGGCTGAGGTGGGTGGGCCTACTACTCTGGGCCTCTGTCTGAGCATAGTTTGTAAAAACTAGGTTAGTTTCATATTCTTAGATTTCTGTTCTGGAAGTTTTTTGTAGTGTTGTCAGTATCAGATTCTCTTTTTTTGTTTGTTTTGTTTTAACTTTTAAGTTCAGGGGTACAAATGCAGGTTATGTCATAGGGGTTTGTTATACAGATTCTCACCCAGGTATTAAGCTTAGTGCCCATTAGTTATTTTTCCTGATCCTCTCCCTCCTCCCACTCTGCACCCTCTGATAGGTCTCAGTGTTTGTTCCCCTCTATGTATCCGTGTTTTTCATCATTTAGCTCCCACTTGGAAGTGAGAACATGCATGCGATATTTGGTTTTTCTTTTTTTTTTTTTTTTTTTGGGACGGAGTTTCACTCTTGTTGCCTAGGCTGGAGTGCAGTGGCGTGATCTTGGCTCATCACAACCTCTGCCTCCCAGGTTCAAGTAATTCTCCTGCCTTAGCCTCCCGAGTAGCAGGAATTACAGGCATGCCCCACCATGCCTGGGTTATTTTGTATTTTTAGTAGAGATGGGGTTTCGCCATGTTGGTCAGGGTGGTCTTGAACTCCCAACCTCAGGTGATCCGCCCACCTCAGCCTCCCAAAGTGCTGGGATTATAGGCATGAGCTACCACACCTGGCCGTATGTGTCTTCATAGTAGAATGATTTATATTCCTTTGGCTATATACCCAGTAATGGGATTGCTGGGTGAAATGGTGTTTCTGTCTTTAGGTCTTTGAGGAATCACCACACTGGCTGAACTAATTTACATTCCCCAGTGTCAGATTCTAAGCAGATTCCAATTCTTAGTGGGTATTGCATGCTTTTTGCTTCCTGTTTCCCTCAAAGTTGAGATATTTAAGCACCTAACCTCCTTCCCATTGGTTCTCATTGCCTTTTAACTTTTGGTCCTGTTGAGAGGCCATTCTAAGCCCTTGCCCTTCAAGCTAAGTGTGTTTCTGGAAACTTAACCTTCTCTGGTGTTTTCTCTGGCCACGCTAGACTCGGGAAGAGGCTCTGTCGGGATTGGCTGGAAGCAAAGGGGAGGTCACTGGTGTTGTGGCTGCTTTGGAACAACTGGTGCTGATGGCTCCCTTGGCGAAGGAGTCTGTTTTTCAACCCAGGAAGGTTAGTGTGTTCCTGTTACTAAGTGGCTGCCATTCCTCAAATACTGTCATTGAGCCTGGTAGGCATTACTGTGAGATCTAAACCTTCTCAAGAGAAGAGGGGACAATGAGTATTTTCTGTATGCTTGTTACTAGTTCTTTCCCCAGGGGTGTTAAATCAGTGAACACAACAGCTAAGATAAACATCTAGGGAGCTTGGTTCTTAGGCCTACATTTGCCACATTGCTTTCGGAAAGCAGGAGATATACTTTCTGTTGATCTAGAGTTTGCTGCAACAGGGTGTGCTGGAGTATCTGTCTGCCTTCGATGAAGAAACCACGGAAGTTTGTTCTCTGGACACTCCTTCTAGACCTCTTGCTCTCCCTCTGGTAGAGGAGGAGGAAGCAGTGTCTGAACCAGAGCCTGAGGGGTTGCCAGAGGCCTGTGATGACTTGGAGTTAGCAGATGACAATCTTAAAGAGGGAACCATTTGCACTGAGTCCAGCCAGCAGGAACCCATCACCAAGCCAGGCTTCACACGCCTCAGCAGCTCTCCTTGTTACTACTTTTACCAAGGTGAGGGTGCCTGAGGAGAGGGCTGGGTTGCCGCAGAGGTGTTTCAGATGCGACCCTGCGCTGTAAGCAGAGGAGCGCCACTAGATCCAGGGGCTTGGGTGGCTTGAGCCCTTGGGCATGGGGAGGGGTGAGGGGCCTTCTGGGGACTGGCCAAGACTGGTGTGTGATAGAGCCTCTTGTCCTCAGCGGAAGATGGGCAGCACATGTTCCTGCACCCCGTGAATGTGCGCTGTCTCGTGCGGGAGTACGGCAGCCTGGAGAGGAGCCCCGAGAAGATCTCAGCAACTGTGGTGGAGATTGCTGGCTACTCCATGTCTGAGGTGAGGCCTTCCTCTAGAAATGGAGGGTCAGGCAGCAATATTAACCTAATCTCTTTGAGGTAGGCTTAGCCATCCTAAGTTCACAAACCTTCAAGGCCTTTAGTTTTTGTATTTTTAGTCTTCCTGTCAGTGATGGTGCTGTGAATTCTTTGTAAGTGAGGTGCCCCCTCAGCATGAGTGCTGCTCCCTGCTTCATTGATTGTAGTTTGGAGATGTAGATATTTCCTTCTTTTATTCAAGATGGAGTTTATTTTTGTTTGTTTTCCTCCTTATTGCTTGGGAGAAATGTCACAAATTTGTTGTAAGATTTAAAATTAGACTCTTTGAGTACTATAAATTTTTCATCAAACATGCAGGAGAAGAATAGAAACGAAAATAAATGGGCTGGGTGTGGTAGCTCACACCTGTAATCCCAGCACTTTTGGGAGGCTTAGGCAGGCAGATTGCTTGAGGCTAGGAGTTTCAGACCAGCCAGGGCATTTCTACAAAAGATAAAAAAAAAATTAGCTGGGTGTGATGAGTCCCAGCTACTCAGGAGGCTGAGGCAGGAGGATCACCTTAGCCCGGGAGATCAAGTCTGCAGTGAGCTGGCCTGGGTGACAGAGCAAGACCATGTCTCAAAAAAAAAAAAGAAAAAAAATATTGGGCTTCATTTCTACTATTTCAGGCCAAGTGTCTTTTAGTAGGGAGATCTGCTTTATCTTCCTTCCCAGTTATTCTGTCAGTGGTTCCCACTTTTTTTTTTTTTTTTTGAGACAGAGTCTCGCTCTGTCACCCAGGCTGGAGTGTAGTGGCCGGATCTCAGCTCACTGCAAGCTCGGCCTCCCGGGTTCAGGCCATTCTCCTGTCTCAGCCTCCTGAGTAGCTGAGACTACAGGTGCCCGCCACTTCGCCCGGCTAGTTTTTTGTATTTTTTAGTAGAGACGGGGTTTCACCGTGTTAGCCAGGATGGTCTCGATCTCCTGACCTAGTGATCCGCCCGTCTCGGCCTCCGAAAGTGCTGGGATTACAGGCTTGAGCCACCGCGCCCGGCCCCCACTTTTTTTTGTTCTGTTTTTCCGCCAACAAATAACTTTTTATCTTTGCTGTTCATCCCCCTCAGCTGTGGGCCCTTAAAAATCAGAAACAGCTGATTGGTTTTAGATTATTTGTTGCCGGACTCAATTCACTCCTTTGCAGCACAACCAAAAATAACGGGATTTGGTTGCTTATTCCACCTTGCTGTAGGTTGACAGTTTCTCTTTGACTTTTCAAAATGAGGATAATTGAGCACTACTGTTTTCAGCCCCAGTGCTGGCTGTGTTATGTATATATTGTTGGATATCTGGGTTAGGACCCCCTGCTTTCAGAGTTAGGTTTGCTTTAGTTGAGTATTGGTCCTTTTTCCAATGTAGGATGTTCGACAGCGTCATAGATATCTCTCTCACTTGCCACTCACCTGTGAGTTCAGCATCTGTGAACTGGCTTTGCAACCTCCTGTGGTCTCTAAGGAAACCCTAGAGATGTTCTCAGGTGAGAATGCCCCTGCTCTGCTTCTCTTCATAGTAGGATTCAGGGATGCTTGTGGCTAGAAATCCAGTGTGGGAGGAAACTTACGGAACTGTATCATGAATCCTAGTACCTCCTAAACACTTCATCTGTTCATCTAGTCCAGCTGGGCCTACTGGTGTGGGCTTAGCTGCTAATACTGGGAGGAGAGGTGATGGGTAGGTTGTCCTGGGTCTGCCTCTTTACAACCTGACCAATCCGCAGATGACATTGAGAAGAGGAAACGTCAGCGCCAAAAGAAGGCTCGGGAGGAACGCCGTCGAGAGCGCAGGATTGAAATAGAGGAGAACAAGAAACAGGGCAAGTGTAAGTTCAGGAACTCTCATCTTTGACTAGTACTGCTGTACATCATTGTCTGGAACTCTGTCTGAGACCTGGGAGCCAGACCTTAGCGACTTGTTTTCTTCAGCTTTTAAATGTGAATCATGAGAGCACCTCCTTAATAGTCTTGCTTGCAAATGTAATGAGTTAATATGGGTCAAAGTGCCTAGCACATAGTAAAGATGAAGATGAAATTCAGCGTTGGTAATAGTGGGCGATATAAACCTGTTCAAGAGATGGGAATTGGGGCTTTGCTAAGAATGCTGGGGGCCATTGTTCCCCATGCTTTCTGGATCACTGACTCTGTATTAAAGGGGATAGCTGTACACAGCAAGTCTGCCAGGAGGGTCTGATAAGATGGAAACCTTGATAGACTAGGAAGTGCAGGAAGTTGGATTTAAGAGATCTTTCATAGCAGTAAGCACAGCCTTTTGATCTGGTTCTTCAAAATAAGCTTTATTGAATCCAGGAGATTAGTGTGACATGAGGTCCCGTTATCCACCAGAAAACAAGGAATTGAGTCTTTGGCCAAGAAAAGCACTGTGGTATTTTGACTCCATATGGCATGGAAACATACATTCTATATCTCAAGTGGGGTAAGTGTGTACTTGGGGTCCCAACACTGTGTAGGTGTTTGGCACATGTCCTGAACTTTGAGAAAACTGATATTTCAGGAATAGGAATTTTTGTTTTAACCTTTTTATTATGGAAATATCAAGACAAGTAGAACAGTGTAATAAACCCCCATGTTTGTCACCCAGCCTCAATTATTAATCGTTAGAACAAGGTTAACTATATTAAAGACATTATAGAAGGACAGTATTGTAAATTTGGGTTTTAGCTTGTCTGCATCCTCTAGATCTTTTGGGGATATGCATGTATGGTGTCTTCAACTGTTGGAAACTATTTGAAAAATTTAGGCCAGGCGTGGTGGTTCACATCTGTAATCCCAACACTTTGGGAGGCCAGGATGGGCAGATCATTTGAGCTCAGGAGTTCAAGACCAGGCTGGGCAACATGGTGAAACCTCGTCTCTTTAAAAATTCAAAAAATTGGCCGGGCGCAGTGGCTCAAGCCTGTAATCCCAGCACTTTGGGAGGCCGAGACGGGCGGATCACGAGGTCAGGAGATCGAGACCATCCTGGCTAACACAGTGAAACCCCGTCTCTACTAAAAAATACAAAAAACTAGCCGGGCGAGGTGGCGGGCGCCTGTAGTCCCAGCTACTCGGGAGGCTGAGGCAGGAGAATGGCGGGAACCCGGGAGGCGGAGCTTGCAGTGAGCTGAGATCTGGCCACTGCACTCCAGCCTGGGCGACAGAGCGAGACTCCGTCTCAAAAAAAAAAAAAAAAAAAATTCAAAAAATTAGCTGGGCATGGTGGCACGTGCCTGTGGTCCCAGCTACTCAGGAGGCTGAGGTAGGAGGATCGCTTGAGCCTGGGAGGCAGAGGACTCAGCAGAGATCATACCACTATACTCCAGCTTGGGTGACAGAGTGAGACCCTGTCTCAAAAAAGAAAAAAAAAAAAAAATTGAAGAATTCTGTGAATGGGTTTACAAGGGTTATCTTTCTTTTGCAGACCCAGAAGTCCACATTCCTCTCGAGAATCTACAGCAGTTTCCTGCCTTCAATTCCTATACCTGCTCCTCCGATTCTGCTTTGGGTCCCACCAGCACCGAGGGCCACGGGGCCCTCTCCCTTTCTCCTCTCAGCAGAAGTCCAGGTTCCCATGCAGGTAAACAGGTGAAATTTAATAAATTCACCCATCCGGTAGACCTTATGCAAAGCTTTGGTGTCTGAACTTACAATCCCGGCCCACCCAGCATGGTGTGGACTTCAGGAGCATAACCTTACTTTGGTAGTCCTGAGGTACATCAAATTCTTAATGTTTATTCATCCTTCCCACTTGCTATGCTGACTGCTTTACCCTGCCCGCTTCTAAGCACCTCAAGGAGCTCTTTAGGCAGGATAGTTGAACCTGGATTCTTCCCTTTGACCCAGCTGTTTTTGTTTCTAGTTTTTATGTTTGAGATACTCCCCTGTATGCCTAAACCTCTTTGTACATGTCTTTTTATTGAAGCATTGTTTATAATAGCTCCAAAAAAAGAAAAAGGTTGGAAAGCCTACCAATAAGAAAATGACTAAATTATAGTATTTATATTATAAAATATTCCACACCAAAAGGCTGGACGTGGTGACTCATGCCTGTAATCCTAAGCACTTTGGGAGGCCGAGGTGGGTGGATCATGAGGTCAGGAGTTCAAGACCAGCCTGACCAACACTGTGAAACCCTGTCTCTACTGAAAATACAAAACTTAGCTGGGCATGGTGGCAGGTGCCTGTAGTCCCAGCTATTCAGGAGGCTGAGGCAACAGAATTGCTTGAACCTGGGAGGCAGAGGTCGCAGTAGACAAGGTTACACCACTGCACTCCAGCCTGGGCAACAGAGAGACTTTGTCTCAAACAAAAAAAACATTCACACCTGTCGAAGAAGGGAATAGTTCTATTCATGTACTAATGGGAAGGTAATTTGTAGAACAAGAATAAATATTTGTAGGTTTTTAAAAAAAACACCACCACCACAAAACTAAAGCATTTCATTATGGGTTTATATTTATATATATATATATATGTAAATGCATAGAAAAACTTCTGCTAGAAGGCAGGGGAGGAAATAAAAAAATATGAAATGTATAGAGGAGAATTGAAGGCCAGGCACGGTGGCTCACACCTGTAATCTCAGCAGTTCGGGAGGCCGAGGTGGGCAGATCCCCTTGAGCTCAGGCGTTCAAGACCAACAAAATTTTGTCTCTACAAAAAATACAAAATTTAGCCGGGTGTGGTAGTGTGCACCTGTAGTCCCAGCTACTCGGGAGGCTGAGGTGGGGGTGTGGCTTGAGTGAGCCTAGGAGGCAAAGGTTGCAGTGAGCCCAGATTGGGCCACTGCACTCCAGCCTGGGCAACACGGCCAGACCCTGTGGAAAAAAAAAAAATACTGAGACAGATGTGTTCCAAATTGGTGGTAGTGTTACATTCTAAGGAATGAGATTGGATTGAAATGTTCAAATGCGCCTTTAGTCTTAAAAAAGTTTGTCTTATATATAAAGAATGTTTAAAGTGTTATGAAATTAAACACTTAAAGAGCTACTATAATTTCAGAGAATTCTCTTTTGTGATCTTCGTCTGATAAGCCTGGCAGATGGCTTTTTTTTTTTTTTTTTTTTTGAGATGGAGTCTAGCTTTGTCACCCAGGCTGGAGTGCACTGGTGCAGTCTCAGCTAACTGCAACCTCTGCCTCCTGGGTTCAAGCAATTCTCCGGCCTCAGCCTCCTGAGTAGCTGGGATTACAGGTCTGCGTCACCAAGCCTGGCTAATTTTTGTATTTTTAGTAGAGACAGAGTCTCTCCATGTTGGCCAGGCTGGTCTCGAACTCCTGGCCTCAAGTGATCTGCCTGCCTCAACCTCCCAAAGTGCTGGGATTGCAGGTGGGAGCTGCTGCGCCCAGCCTGTTTGCTTTTAAGAGATAGGGTCTTGCTCAGTGCTGTGGTGCAATCATAGCTCACTGCAATCTTGAACTCCTGGGCTCAAGTGATCCTGCCTGAGCTTCCCAGAGTGCTAGGATTACTGGTGTGAGCCACTGCACCTCGCCAAGAGAGATACTTTTTGATGCTTATGACTGATTTCTCAGGCATTCTTGTTTTGTTTTGTTTTAGATGGAGTTTCACTTTTGTTGCCCAGGCTGGAGTGCAATGGTGCAATCTCGGCTTACTGCAACCTCCGCCTCCTGGGTTCAAGCGATTCTCCTGCCCTCGCTCCAGTAGCTGGGATTACAGGCACCGCGTCAATCCACCACCTGGCTAAATTCTGTGTATTTTTAGTAGAGAGAGGTGTTCTCCATGTTGGTCAGGCTAGTCGTCGAACCTCCCCGACCTCCAGGAGATCCGCCAGCCGACCTCCAGTAATCCACTTGCCTTGCATCCCAAATTACTGGAATTACAGGCGTGAGCCACCGCGCCTGGGCTCTGTAGGGCATTCTTTTTCTTTTTTTTTTTTTTTTTTTGAGACGGAGGCTCGCTCTGGTTGCCCAGGCAGGGGGGGGGGGGGGGGGGGGGGGGGGGGGGGGGGGGGGGGGGGGGGGAGTGCAGTGGCCGGATCCTCAGTCAATGCCAAGCTCCGCCCTCCCGGGGTTCACGCCATTCTCCGGCCTCAGCTTCCCCGAGTAGCTGGGGACTTACAGCGGCCCCCCACCTCGGCGCCGGCTAGTTTTTTGTATTTCTTAATTAGAGACGGGTTCACCGTGTTAGCAGGATGGTCCTCGGATCCTGACCTCGTGATTCGCCCGTCTCGGCTCCAAAGTCTGGGATTACAGGCTTGAGCCCACCACGCCCGGCCTGTAGGGCATTCTTAACAAAGTGTCCATCATTGAATATTTGAAACTTTTGGTGATCATTGTATTCATATGCATATCATTTTGCAGATTAGGAACCTGTGGCTGAGGCAGGTAAAACTACTTACGTGGCAAGAACTGGGATTAGAACCTGGTTCTTGAGGACTGCACTACTGTGACGCTCTTCTGCTTAACTGAGAAAGGAGCATATGAAGGACTGTGGCAGATCATTAAATACATTATTTGTGATATGCATTTTTTTTTTTCTTTTTTTTTGAGATAGGGTCTCGCTCTGTCGCCCAAGCTGGAGTACAGTGGTACAATCTCAGCTCACTGCAATCTCTGTGTCCCAGGTTGAAGCAATTCTCGTGCCTCAGCCTCCCTAGTAGCTGGATTACAGGCATGCACCACCATACCCTGCTAATTTTTGTATTTTTAGTAGAGATGGGGTTTCGCCATGTTGGCCAGGCTGGTGTCAAACTCATGGCCTCAAGTGATCTGCCTGCCTCGGCCTCCCAATATGCTGGGATTACAGGCTTGAGCCACTGTGCCCAGCATATCTGTGATACCAAGACTGTGTTTTCACATACTATCCTTCCTGAAAGCTGTTTTTTGTTTTGTTTTGTTTTGTTTTTGACGGAGTCTCACTCTGTCGCCCAGGCAAGAGTGCAGTGGTGCGATTTTGGCTCACTGCAACCTCCCCCTCGTGGGTTCAAGCAATTGTTCTGCCCCAGCCACCTGAGTAGCTGGGACTACAGGTGTGTGCCACCATGCCTGGCTAATTTTTTGTAGTTTTAGTAGAGATGGGGTTTCACCGTGTTAGCCAGGATAGTCTCGATCTCCTGACCTTGTGATCCTCCCGCCTCAACCTCCCAAAGTGCTGGGATTACAGGCATGAGCCACCACACCCAGCTGTGTGTTTTTTTGGGTTTTTTTTGTTTGTTTGTTTATGATGGAGTTTTGCTCTGTCACTCAGGCTGGAGCACAATGGCATGATCTTGGTTCACTGCAACCTCCACTTCCCAGGTTCAGGTGATTCTCCTGTCTCAGCCTCTCAAGTACTCAAGTAGCTGGGATTACAGATGTCCACCACCATGCCCAACTAATTTTGTATTTTTAGTAGGGATGGGGTTTCACCACCTTGGCCAGGCTTGTCTTGAACTCCTGACCTCAGGTGATCTGCCCGCTTCAGCCTCCCAAGTGCTGGCATTACAGGCGTGAGCCACTGCACCCGGCTTTTCTGAAAGTTTAAGCTCTTAATGTATTTAAACAAGAGCAATTGGCTGGTCCTAGTAATAAGAGTACTGACCATGGGAGGGCCTGCTGCTGGGGAGAGAACAGGGCCCTTCTTGTCCAACACTGTTCAGGGTAGTGGATAGACTCATCTGTGGGAAGTGTTCAGCTGTAGTCAGAAAGGATAGACAAGTGTATTACCTCGGGAGTATCGGGGGAAAGTTTGCACCCTCATGCTGGATCTTGTTGATGTGTCTTGGATTCTGATTGAATATTCCCAGGTCATAGTGTCTACTATCGGGAATGTAAAGGCTGAGCTGATTAAAATTTTATCTTTTTCTTGGAGGTGTTTCATACGTGTAAAACCAGTCCCTGACAGTACCTAGCCTTGAGAGCCAGCCTTTGTGAAAAGTGTCACATTTCAAAAGCAGAGACTTTTTCTTATGGTAGGAGTAGATTCTACCATGACTCCTAGTGTTACTGTAACCATGAAGCTTTTCCCTCTTCCTATGGTCACTGATTTCACAGGTGATATTGTTGGCTTTTTAAGAACATGGGAGAGTTGAAAGTTGGATCAATGTTTGCTTTTTTTTTTTTGAGGGGATGATTTGTAATTTTCCAGACCTGACTCAGGGCTCACTCATCTCTCTTGTTAAGGACACTCCTTGGAACGTGACGAATATAATCAGGTCTCTGGTTCCCTTTCAGACTTTCTGCTGACCCCTCTGTCACCCACTGCCAGTCAGGGCAGTCCCTCATTCTGCGTTGGGAGTCTGGAAGAAGACTCTCCCTTCCCTTCCTTTGCCCAGGTAAATCCTTTGCTTGTGAAGCAGCCCAAGGGTATTTAACATGAACTCTGCTGCTCATTATTATGGGAACCTCCTCCAGGGATTGTTACCTCTCATTCTAATACGGCTGGACAAATTGAGTCATCTGATGGGTAGGAGGGAAGTTCACTGCCTGTCGGAGCTTTAGGCAGTGTGGAGTTGGCTGAGGGCAGATTATGTCATGGACGTCCCCTCTGTTGGAAAAGGAGAGACTTAACAGGCTAATGTTGCACTGACTCTAATAATCATGGGAGGCTTTCTTAAGAGGAAAGCTCGTGGATTTAGTCCTCAGATGTTATTGTAGACGTACCCAGGAAAGAGGCCAAGAATAGCTGAGGCAGAATCAGAGTTTAGAATATTTTAAAAATCATTTGATACTTGTGTACTGGATACTATTGTAGGGGCTGGGGATACACCATCAATTTTAACTGGTCTCTGGTTCTAGGACCTCTGATTCAGGTGGTATTTATCTGTTACATAAAATAAGCCATTTCTCTTTACTTTGAGAGGGGAAGATTGTGTTGGTTATACTGCAACTAGCCAAAGCAGCTTCCTTGGAGCTGGGTGGGGGGATGATAGGCTAGTGAGGCTTGCTGTGAAACCGCTTTATTAATCTCTAAGATAACAAGCAATACTCAGCATTCCTGCATTCAGATAAGTGAGGAAGTTGGATGGACAGCTTGACATGAGCCCTTGTAAGAAGTCCGTATTAACTTCTTTGGGGCTAGTGTAGAATCATTATCTTGACAATTCTTTAGACAGTTGATATGGATGTTTCTTATATGATTATAGCAGTTTGTACTGAGAAATAAGAATTGAGCTTTGGTAAGGAGGATTCTAAAGTCAAGGAACATGAAATAATTGTGAGGGTGAGGTGGGAAGGGAGGGGATCCTGAAAATGAACTGCTGGACTTAAGAGGTGATTAGCAAGTAGCTCCCAGGAGTTATGCCAAATACTTTTTTTTTTTGAGATGAAGTCTTGCTCCTGATCACCAGGCTGGAGTGCAATGACGCGATCTCGGCTCACTGCAACCTCCACCTCCCGGGTTCAAGTGATTCTCTTGCCTCAGCCCCCCGAGTAGCTGGGGTTGGGTTACAGGTGCCTGCCATCATGCCGGGCTAATTTTTGTATTTTTAGTAGAGACAGGGTTTTACCATGTTGGCCAGGCTGGTCTTTTTTTTTTTTTTTTTTAACTAGGCTTTATTGCTATTGCTTTTTTCCTTTCAACTTTATTTTGAAAAACTTCACACTTAGAGTTGAAAGAATAGTATTATGAACACTTATACTTTTGACCTAGATTCACTAATTGTTGTTATTTTGCTGTTATATATTTGCTTTCTCTTTTTTCTGTGTTGAAAAGAAGTTGCAGATATCATGAATGATACTTTACCACTAAGTACTTAGGAGATACATGCCAAAGAAAGTGGGATATTCGCCTATAGAACCACAATGATCACATTAGAGAAATTCCACTGCCATAATAGTACCTAATATGGTGCATATTTCTGTCTCCCCATTTGTCTCAGTGTCCTTTATTTTCAACTCAGGGCAGAATCCCATTACTCACTGCATTTAGTTGTCAAGTCTCTTTAGTCTCCTTTGATCCGTTCCTTTGCCCATATCCCCTCTTTTTTTTTTTTCCCCCTTCCCATGGCCAGTTTCATAGAATATCTTACAGTTTGGACTTGTATGATTTCTAATGAGTGGATTCAAACGTTTTGGTAAGAATAAAGGTGACATTTTGATTACCTTTTAAGAGTAAAACAATTCACATGTCAAACTATTTGGATGCTGTCTCAGTCCATTTGTGTGGCTATAAAAGATTACTCGAGGCCAAGTCATTTATCAAAAAAAAAAAAAGTTTATTTGGCTCATGACTCTGCCGGCTGGAGAACTGGGCATCTGGTGAGTGCTTCAGACTGCTTCCACTCATGGTGCACAAAGTGAAGGGGTCCCTGCTTGTGAAGAGATCACATGGCAAGAGAGGAAGCAAGGCGGGGAGGAGGTGGCAGCCTGTTTTAAAACAACCGTGTTCCTGTGCCCAGTTTCAAAGTAACCTTCAGCCAAGCTATTGAAGCAGACTTCATGAAACTGGACACACCAGCTACTGCAGATCCCTTCTGGGGTAAGGGCAGAGGCTGGAGTGCTCAGGGCTATCAAACACACACAAATGTACTGCCATTCCCACTTGGATCCAGTGGCAGACATCACTCTCAGCTCTTTCAGGAATGAATATGAGAATAGTTCTCCCATTCCCCAGGGAGGGCATTAATCTGTTCATGAGGGGTCCACCCCCCTGACCCAAACACCTCCCATTAGGTCCCCACTTCCAATATTGGGGATCAGATTTTAACATGAGGCTTGGGAAGGTCAAATGTGTAAGCCATAGGAGACCCAAACTCCTAGAGACAAAGGGAGAAGTTCACCAAAGTGGAACATAATGAAGAAAGGTTATTTACTGAAATCAGCATCTGCCAACACAAACTCATCTTGAGTAATAGGCATTCCTCACTTTGGATTATATGATTTAAGGACAAGGCACCCCTTCTTGAACCCCATGGGGTTTGTCTTTTGATATTTTTCCAGGAATAAAATGTTCCTTGCCTTTTAAGTGGCATATTTGCAGTTATGGCTCATAGTGGCCTTCAGCAGTTACAAAGCTGGCCTTGGCCAAGTGGAATGAAAATTCCTCAGGGGCATGAGGATTGTTCTGATTTTATTGTCCTTGCAGGAATTTTACTTGGCCTGTGGTTGGATCTGAAAGTTAATGATTAAGGAGCTATTGGAAAAGCAGACTAAAAGGTAGTGAGGGCTGTTGAAGCAGTATCAGGAGAGAGTTTAGTTTTCATGGCTTTAGGTACCTGAAGTTTAGTAGTCATGTGGTTTAAAACTGGAGGGTACTCAGCTGGGCGCAGTGTCTCATGCCTGTAATCCCAGCACTTTGGGAGGCCAAGGCGGGTTGATCACCTGAGTTCAGGAGTTCAAGACCAGCCTGACCAACATGGAGAAATCCAGTCTTTACTAAAAATACAAAAATTAGCTGGGCATGGTGGTGCATGCCTGTAATCCCAGCTACTCAGGGGGGTGAGGCAGGAGAATCGCTTGAACCTGGGAGGCGGAGGTTGCAGTGAGTCAAGATTTGTGCCATTGCACTCCAGCCTGGGTAACAAGAGCGAAACTCCGTCTCAAAACAAAAAAAAACTGGAGGGCACTAGGCCGGGCACAGTGGCTCACACCTGTAATCCCAGCACTTTAGGAGGCCGAGGTGGGTGGATTAACTGAGGTCAGGAGTTCAGGACCAGCCTGGCCAACAGAGCGAAACCCCATCTCTACTAAAAAAATCCAAAAATTAGCCAGGTGGGTGCCTGTAATCCCAGCTACTCGGGAAGGGAAACGGAGGCAGGAGAATTGCTTGAACCTGGGAGGCGGAGGTCGCAGTGAGGCGAGATTGTGCCATTGCACGCCAGCCTGGGTGACGAGCAAAACCCTGTCTAAAAAACAAAAACTGGAGGGCACTACCCACTGCTTACTCCGACAGATAGATGTTTTTAGGGGTCTCAAGAAGGGCAGAAAAACTTACCAGAAAGTCAGAATTCCCAATTTGAGGGTCTCAGTAAGAATCTCTTGTGCCTTCTGTGCAGTGTTCTTTACCCATTTCCTAAGGAACAAACAGCTTATGGTTTACTACCTTGTGGGTTTCATTGCCCTTTCCATTAGCCATGATATAGAGGACATGACTAGAACCTTCTCTTTCCAGGAGAGAAGTACCTGGAAAATCTTTTCAAAGGTGATAGTTGGTTCTGTGCTTCTCCAGTCAGTCAAGGTAGGTCTGGAAAAGAAGTTGGACTAGCTACTTAAATTCTCTCCCCCACTTCTTTCCCACTTTGGCAGATGCTGAGGGTTGGAAAAGCAAAAGCAGATGTGTGGCCCAAAACTGCTCCAAAGAAAGGTGAGGATGGTCCACTGGTGAAGGGGGAGTTTGGCTCCTTTCCATAAAAAGCTGTTTCTAGAAAAAGAGTTGTTTCTATAGTTTTAACACTGTTATTTTTTAGATGAGAACAGCTTAGTTCCTCCTGCCCCTGTGGAGAGCGATGGGGAGAGTGATAATTCAGACCGTGTTCCTGTGCCCAGTTTTCAAAATTCCTTCAGCCAAGCTATTGAAGCAGCCTTCATGAAACTGGACACACCAGCTACTGCAGATCCCCTCTCTGGTAAGGCAGAGGCTGGAGTGCCCAGGGTTGTCAAACATACTACACATACACTGCCATTCCCGCCTCGATTCAGTGGCAGACATCACTAATTAGGCTGTTTCCCTTCTGAACCCTTCAGCACACTCTAGTGTCATTTAAATAGTGCTCCATTTGGTATGTCAGATAGGACCTATTTGCCACTCCAGAGTAATTCATGGCGCCTGAAAGTGAAATTCTGAGGAACTCTTCCAAGATACAGTGGGGTGTACAACCTGTATCCTTTGGAATCTTGAGTTGGTACAGGGTGGCTAATTAGATGGAGGTCAGTCTCAAAGCCTGTTGCACTCTGTTCGTTGACTAGACAAGAATCACATATGTATGGTGTGCTATGTGCCTAGCACTGTGCTAATTTTATTCTCCCAACAACCACATTAAATGGGTGTACCTCACATTACAGATGGGGAAACTGAGGTCTAGGGAGGTAAAAGTGACTTGCCCAAAGACACCCACTTAGTTATACCAAGACTAGTATTGGAATCTAGGCAGTCTAATTCCAGAGCCTCCACTCTTAGCTCCCACTCTGTGACTTTCGGTCATAAAAACTGGCCAAGGGACAAGGGATGGCATTTTAAGTTAAGCTCTCTTTCTGTGTCTCCCTTTAGAAGAGAAAGGAGGAAAGAAAAGAAAAAAACAGAAACAGAAGCTCCTGTTCAGCACCTCAGTCGTCCACACCAAGTGACACTACTGGCCCAGGCTACCTTCTCCATCTGGTTTTTGGTTTTTGTTTTTTGTTTTTTACCCTCATGCTTTTGTTTGGCTGCTGTAATTTTTAAGTATTTGAGTTTGAACGGATTAGCTCTGGGGGGAGGGTGTTTCCACAATGTGAGGGGGAACCAAGAAAATTTTAAATACAGTGTATTTTCCAGCTTCCTGTCTTTACACCAAAATAAAGTATTGACACAAGAGATCTCTTCCTGCCAAGGTTTTTAGTTCATTGCCAGTTTAGTCTTTTTGACCCATGTGTAATTAATTTTTCTCAACCCAAAATAAGATTGAATCCCTTCGAGATGCATTAGAGCAGTCCAACCCGGAATGGTGCACACACTGCTCTGCTGTAGCATCATGTCAGGCCTTCCTGGGCTCAGCACACCTCTGTCTTTTAAAAAACAGCTGAATCTTTACTACCTATTTAGTTGTTCTTGTTAAAGAAATGGGTGGGAATAAAATGGATTTAGGACACCCAGTTTGTATTGCAGTTTATTTTTCTTCTGACACATGGCCAGGCTGTGGTACCAGCTTAATGGAGTAGGCTGTCCCTGGCACTTGCATGTGTCAAAGGAGGGTTTTGCCTCTTCTTGGGCATGGCTTGCGTTGGTAAGGAAAGCTGTAACTCATGAAGCCCTGAGACCTGCTACCCCTAAGATCGACCTTGTTTTAGGTGACTGGCTTGAGTCATAGGAACAGGAGTGTGGTACAGCTGCAGCAGAGCAGGGCCATCTGAAGCGGTAGCATTGCCACCATCTCCCTCTAATCTAGAGCAGTCTTCTTATGCCTTGGTTTGAGCTGAATTTGATGTAAATTCTTTTTCTGCTTAATAAAGTGACCTCTAGGTGTGTTAGAATGCGAAGGCAAATAGTCACAATAAATCACCTGCACAAGCAATGTGAGCTTTTTGTTTTGTTAAGTTCATTACAGGTGAGCTAGACAAGTTATTTCTTGAATAGGTTAACGTGACAGCTACTGTGATATTGTGGGCTGTCTTTTCTGGTGTCAGGTTTAAATGGTTCTAGAGCTGGACTTAGCTTTAACCTGCCATTTTAAAAGAAATCCTATCAGGAAATTTCCTGGATGGATGAGGGTGTTCTGGTCTCAAGATGAGGGGGCATGTTGAAGCCAAAATCACCAGTATTTCTGTTAAATGTGTATGGTACTTTCAGTCTCATCCATTGTATTACGGAGAAAACAGATCTCAGAAATGTCGGTAGGTAGTAGACCAAACCTGGATCATAAATCTCTTGCCGTTCCTACTTTCTGTGAGTATGGCAGTCTGACTTGTCTCCAGGGTAAGGCGCAATAAGGAAGAGTAGAACTACAAAAAACTACCTTAAGTTTCTTAAGTGGGCAGCTGCTACATGACCATGCAATAATGATGTCAGGTGAGGCCAGCCCCCCAACCCCAACTGCAAAAGTTGCATTTTTTGTTTGAGATGGAGTCTCCCTGTGTCACCCAGGCTGGAGTGCAGTGGTGCAATCTCAGCTCACTGCAAGCTCCGCCTCCTGGGTTCATGCCATTCTCCTGCCTCAGCCTCCTGAGTAGCTGGGATTACAGGCACCTGCCACCATGCCCGGCTAATTTTTTGTGTTTGTAGTGGAGACAGGGTGTCACCGTGTTAGGCAGGATGGTCTTGATCTCCTGACCTCGTGATCTGCCCGCCTCAGCCTCCCAAAGTGCTGGGATTACAGGCATGAGCCACCGCGCCCGGCCCTAAGTTGCATTTTTGCAGTTACCTGATTAACTGTTGGCAAGGAATCTGGTATCTATAAGACCCTGTGGTTCAGTACTGAGACGGACTATAGATCTCTGCCAGTTCATTTGCTGTGTCTCAACTAATATTTCTATTCCAAATGACTTGTCTTGCTTAGGGCCCATCTTGGGGCCGGGGGTACACAGCTTCAGGTAGAAGGCTAAGTATTGAAAATTTAGGCCAGGCACAGTGGCTCACGCCTTTAATCCCAGCACTTTGGGAGGCCAAGGCAGGCCGATCACTTGAGGCCAGGAGTTCAACAGCAGCCTGGCCAACATGGCAAAACCCTGTCTCTACTAAAAATACAAAAATTAGCCAGGCGTGGTGGTGCACGTCTGTAATCCCAGCTACTTGGAAGGCTGAGGTGGGAGAATTGCTTGAACCCGGGAGGTGGAGGTTGCAGTGAGCCGAGATTGGGCCAGTACACTCCAGCCTGGGTGACAGAGTGAGACTGTCTCAATAAAAAAGTTTAGTACCACACAGGGAGTCAGTCTTCCCACCAAGGCTAGGGATAGAGAACAGAGACTTGGCCAAGCATGGACTCCATAAGCCCTTTTTGTAATATAAGTATACTAAATGCCACGGAAACCAGATACATTTATTAAATCTACTCTTAGCCAAGCAATAAAGATGTCTACAGAGTTCACAACCTGCAACACTTAACCAGGGAATGCTAGGTAAAGGCAACTTCAGTTTAACTGAGTACTCTATTTTAAGTGGGTAACATGTCCACTGGTTGGCAGCTATCCAGCTTGGAAAACTGTAGAAGATGCTGTTGCTACCGAGATTGTTCTGTTCAACAAGTGGGCCCGAAGCCTGAGCAGTGTAGCCTGCTGTGTGGTGAGCAGAGGGTCACTCCATTGCTTCTGCAGCCTCCTCACCTGACTCTTCGTCCTCCTCTAGTAAGCAGCTTCTTGTCACAGACTTCTGGATAGCTTCCCGCTCTCCTGGAGAAGGCAGATAGGGATGAAAGATGTCTTTGGGAGTGATTTCTTCAGCTCGAGGTCAGTCACTGCTCAGCGGGCACTGGGCTAGTATTGCTTACCTTCATCAGTGCAGTTCTGCAACAAGATCAACAGCTGTCTCCTGTTGTACTGAATTAGGAACTTCTGACATGTTCTTATTGTACCTGGCATGTGAGTTACTGCGGTCAACAGCTTGTGAAAGGTCTCGACCTTACTTTCAGAGGTAGGGGAAGTGTCTTGTTAGCGGGACAGCAGGAAGACCCACCCACTAGTCTAGACTGAACTCTGAACATGTCACCTATTGAAAATCAGTAGCCATATCACGTCACTCCTACCTCCCACATGTAACGTGTTGAAAAAGCATGGGTAACGGTGTCCTTTGTTCTCCAGGTATGTGATGAAGGGAAGAGCTGACCACACAAGCTGATAGAACTCTTTTCTGCATCGAAGTAGCACTATTCCAGTATAGGCATTGAGGTATCGAACTACAACAGGGAAAAAAAAAAAATCATTTCGGAAAATTTTGCTGTGTGTGGTGGCTCACACCTGTAATCCCAGCAGTTTGGGAGGCTGAGGCGGGCAGATCACTTTATGTCAGGAGTTCGAGGCCAGCCTGGCCAACACGATGAAAACCCGTCTCTACTAAAAATACAAAAATTAGCCGGGCGTGGTGGTGCATGCCTGTAATTCCAGCCACTCAGGAGACTGAGTCATAAGAATCGCCTGAACCCAGGAGGTAGGGGCAGCAGTGACCTGTGATCTCCCTGCTGCACTCCAGCAGCCTGGGCAACAGCAAGACTATCTCAAAAAAAAAAAAAAAAAAAAACTTTGGAGTAACAGAGCACAAGTGGCACGTAGGATCTATCAGCGAGTAAAAGAGAAAAGCCAAAACACCCACTGTTTTGCACACCACTCAGAACTGGTGAATGAATTTAGAATTTAAAATGCTTTCTAATTCACTAGTTAATTCAATAAATAGGAGCAGGTAGGAGGCGATCCATTTTAATTTAGGAAAAACCCTCGCCTGAAAAATAGGCTGTTTTACTGCAGTTGGGCTCTGTAATTCTTGTAGCAGTCAGCTGAGTCTCACCTGACTTAGGATGAGTTAAGCCTATCTGCATTTAACTCTCCGGAAGTCAATCCTCAAGCAAGGTAAAAGGGGGAACTAATATAAATGGTGTGGAAGAAGGGCCCCGGGCCCCTCTTTGTCCCGGCCCATCCTGTATTCACATATATTGACAATCATGTGTTCTGTACTTTACCAACTAAGGGCATTCCCAGCGATACTTTCGACAATTTTTTTCCATGTGATGTTAATGTAATCGGTCATAATAGCTCTTACTAGGAACTAGACACAGCTTCCCTCATTTAATTCTCTATCCTATCAAATTCAGTCACAACCAATTACAGAAATTACCTGTCAAGCAGGCAAAAAGAGGCCTCTAGCTCAAAGACCCACTGCCTTCGGGCCCCTCCTTTTAGCTCTCTGCTAATTTCGGACTCGTGTGGATCTCTCGCTTGCGGTCCCCGGCGCTTAAAGAGATACCTTACAAAAAACGATGCACGGGCTTGGCCACTCGTGCCCCTTCTTTCTTCCTCCGGCGCCTGCCCCCTCCACGTCCCGCCATCCTCCCGGGTTCCCCTCTTCCCCCAACGCTCTCGCACCCGCGAAGCCGATGGAGCAGGCGGCTGCGCCGAAAGTCCCGTGCACCCTGGCGATAGTGTCCCGTACGAGGCTGCTCAGAACTCGGTCATCGAGGCTTAGGCGGCAGCGGGGGTCGTCAGACACCAATTCGCAGAGCAGGTACCTGCGGCAGGCGAGAGGAAGGTGGGCGCTAGCGGCGCCGCGGGGACCTGGCAAGGCGCTGGGTGGGTCTGGAAGGGAATACTTACCTGTGCTTGAACCGCACCATAGCTGCCTCCGCGCCGTCGGGACCGCTGTGCAAACCGGATGTGGGTTCCGTCCGCGGCCCGTGGGAAGCTTACTTCCGCAGCCTTTCAGCCATTCAGAGAAGGAGACAGGACATGCGGGCGGAGCTAGAAAGTTGAGAGGCCGAACTCTGTGTCAGTCTCCCTCAAGCCCCACCTAACTCTGCGTTTGTAAGCGCGCATGCGTCCTGCGGAGGGTCTCTGACTAGTTTGAGGGCTGAACTTCGGCTTGGAGCGGCTGGGAGCGGCTGGGAGCGGCTTGCGGCTGCGATGGGTGGTTTTGCTGCACACCGGCGTTTACAATACTGTGTAGGATGCAACCGCTGCCCTTGGGGCCCTGGGAACCTTGCAGCACAGGTATGTATGCGAGTACATTCTCTCCCCAAGGTGAACCGTGGAGCTTTTGAGGGCAAGACCCTGCACTTCACAGCCCAGGGATTGACAAACGGGAAATCGGACTCTTATTTTCAGGTTTGAGCTCAGTTTAATTCTTCCATGCAGCTAAATGTGCTATTGCTGTTTGGGCCTTTCAACAATCTTAGAGAGGCGAGTGTGCTGTCTCATTTTTTGTTCGCAGAAACAATACGTGGTCATTGTATTTTCCATTTCTGTTTTCCTTTCCTTTTTTTTTTTTTTTTAACAGAAAAGCACAAAGAAGCAAATAAATTATAATCCCAGCACTGAGAGAGAATAACTGTTGTGTAGTGTGTTTTCTTCTGTCATTTTCCCCCTGGGCCAGCGGTTCTCAAAGTGTCGTCTGGGGACCCCTGAGATTTCCAAAACTCACTCGGTTTAGGAGTCCCCGAAGCCAAAATTACTTTCATAATAATACTAAGATGTTACTTGTCTTTTTCATTCTCTCAGAGTGAACAGTCAAGTTTTCCAGAGGCTGCTTGACGTGATGACATCACTGCTCTAACAGCTAATGGAATTGTGTATTTTTTTTTAAACATTTCTCAGCTTTAATGTGCATAGTAAATATAACCCACAAAACTGAAAGCTCTTGGGGATCCTCAGTAACGTGTGTAAAGGGGTCCTGAGACAGAGAAAACAGTTTGAGAACTATGCCCTCTGTTAAATTATGTTTTTTCTTTTATTTTCTTTTTAAGTATTTTTTTAAAAAAGTCTTATGTGGTATTACATAAAATACATATTCCTTTTTTTTTTTTTTTTTGAGACGGAGTCTCGCTCTGTCACCCAGGCTGGAGTGCAGTGGCTGGATCTCAGCTCACTGCAAGCTCCG